CCCCCCCCCTGGTGTACGCTGCTAATCAAGTCGCAACCAATCGAGTGTCTTGTCGGCGAGAATCCGCAGCGAGAAAACTCCCTCTTGGCGAGTAACGTCGCGATCTTACGATCGCGGCAGGCATAAATGTAACGATGAAAAAAAAGCTCAACACGCGCGAATACGTAGAATACGAGGGAGAAGGAGGGAGTGCCGTAAAGAAAGAAATAATAAAAAGGAAAGCGTTCGTTCCCGGCGATAACTCGTTCACGCGCGGTCCATCTTATTCGCGCTTTTACGCGCGCACATTTGCGTGCATGGCCAAGCAGCGCGGAGTGAGAAATCGCAAATAAAGGAAGGCACCGAGTATGAAAGAACGTCTCGTAGCGGGAGGACGACGGCAGGGGAGGAAGACAAATTCCCGCAAAATCACGACGTCTTCCAAGGGGAAGGCGTCTCTTCTTTTCCTTGCACGGATCGTTCCACGGTCGTACAATAGTCGTCGCGCGACCTCGGACACGAGGAAGGCGCGGATCGCCAGACGGACAATAGCTTTGCCGACGACTTTGTTGTCGTCGCGGTCGACGTCGGGCTTGCTTGTATTGTTTGTCGCCGCCGGTGGAAAAGCGCGCGGAGGAAAGAGGATATAACGGTGAAGTAGGAGGAAGGTGGAAATGGGACGTGCGGAAAGTCTGCAGGCGATTTCTATTGTCGGCCGCTCTCCCAATATAATTGGCGCGCGCCGGATAACTCGGACGATAACGAGGACAAAGAAGCGGCGCCGCGGAAGTAGACAATGGGGGAAGAAGACCCCGAGAGAAAGTCGGTGGAGGCTGTCGAGCATCGGCATCTCCTCCCTCCCTCGCGATAATAACACGCGAATCCCGTTGAGTTTGACAGACTCGCCCGTATAATAGCCCGCGAGTTCCTTAATGTAGCTGCTGACTGCGCCGGCAAATAGCCGGTAAATCGCTCGACCTACTTGCCGCGGTTTTATCGCCGTGCGCACGAGAGATGCGATCCCCCGCGATTGTGCATCTCTCGCGATCTTCCATTAACTCGAGCGTTTCGACGCGATCTACGTCTTGTCGCATCAAAGTGAATGAATGTTAACGAAATGACGAGATTTCCTCTCTCTCTCTCTGTTCACGTGAAAGTTGGAAACGTAATTTATACAAGAGTCGCTAACTCTCTCGATCATTTTCGATGGTAAACTAAAATAATTAGCCGGAACTCGCGCTAAATCATAAAGATGTCGTTACCGAAGTTGGAAAGTTGCCGGCTCCAAGACCCCTGCTTATCGCTGTTTAAAATAAATATCGACTTTGGGAAAAATTCACTTAATGCGTGCAACGGTGTCGTGAAGATGCTTGACAAAGTCAGATTATCGCGTTTGATCGAAAGAAGCCGACGTATCGAGTAATTATTCGACAAAACCCGCGATAACGGGGGTATCAAATGGCTGGATGAAAGACGATGAAGAAGCGAGCGAGGGGAAATCCGATAAATTTTTTTTCACACGGCGTTCACGGCTACCAGCGTTATCAAAGCGACTGAACGCAATTGTGCCAACTTGTGAATGTATCTTGACGCTGGCGGACGACCAATCTTTGCCAAGATCCAACAGGTTCGGGCGCTTTAAAAGTTATTTGCGAACGGGGGCGAGAGTAGATCAGAATACGCAAAAGTACCGCCGACCACTAACTTCGTCCGCGAGTTCCGATTGCTCTTGTAATTGACGAGACTGTGAAAGATGGACTTTCTAAGAGCCGCCCCCCGAGGCGCCGGTGGTAATTGCAGTTTGATCGCGCCCTTACGGCGAACTTTCACCCAGTTCGTGGGCCTTGTAATAAGTCTCGAGTTCGCTTTCCGGTGACTTTAACCTTAGACAGCTAGCTAACGCTCTGTAAAAATTACAGAGCCGCCGCCCTCCTTGCAAACTGCAATTAGAACGTTGTTGCGCCGTCGGCAATTAAGAGATCCTTCGTAAAAGACGCGACTTTAAGCAAATGGCGTAATCTCGTTTCCACCGCTAATGAAAATTACACGAAATTCCAACAGCGAGGCAATTTTCCGCTTCTAACGTATGATCCACGTAGAATTCCACGCGACGCGTCGTCGTTTCTATTTCGTCGGATCCTTCATTTCGCGCGTTTACGTAAAACAAGCTCGGCGAACAATCGCGAGAGCGCTTCTCGAACGAGCAGCCGGTGGGTCGGGAAATTGTTATTAAATCGGCTCGAGTGGATTGTCTTCATTTCTGCCGTATGAGTGCCGTCGAAACAGGACAATCGCGGGAGTTGTTTGGAACTTCGTGTACCGCGTCGGCAACTTAGATTTAACTACGAGTTCACCCAAAGGATTAATGTAGCGTCGTCGTAATTACATGAAGAACGGCAGCGATGTGGGTCGTGTACCTCGAAACAGGTCGAATTAATCTCCCTGCTGCTCGCCCCGAGGCTAAACTTCACGCACGACTCGCGGTGCGTCGTTCCTTTGGCACGCTCAGCTCCTCGATCGCATCGACTCTTTTAATTGGATATCGATCGCGTAACTTATTAAGATCCGCGAATATTCGATGTCACCGACAGAGTGCCGTTTCGCAAACGTCGTACGTTCCAAACATCTCAATTAGCGTCTCGTTGGTTAATAGCGGCGATTACACGTCCTGTCACGAAGACAAAAGAGAAGTCTGCTACGTCGGAGTACAATTGATCGTAACGGAAATCATTCGGCAAAGTCGCGCAATTTCTTGGACTCTTTTGGCAAGTCCTTTCAAGAAACCGTCGCGGTATATTGAATCCTGTGATTCCGCTCCTGATCGCATCTATCCATATCAGCGAACTACCTTCCGAGGGACGGAAGATCTGTTTTCCGCAGTGGGAAATGGGAACAGCGCGGCCGGCCAGTGGCTTTTCCTAACTTTCGATCCCGCGAGACCGGTCGGATACCTGTCTACGAGACCCATCCCGGTCTAGCTGCGACATCCAATGTATAATTGACAAGCCACGAAGTTTGCCCCGCCATCGATGCAAAAGACCTGTACGTGTCAGATATTTTGACGTTTTCCGTAAACGTGATATTCCCGGCCGATCTTTGTTTCTCTCTCTCTTCTCTTTTATCCAACTATATCCACGTATACTTCCTATGTGTATAATTTGTTTGAATATTCTACCGTTTAAAAAGGTGGCAGGCGGAGAAGAGCCGGGAATAAAGTTTTTTGATTGATCATCCTCGCGCACAAAATATGCTTGCAAATATGAAAGTTTAAGTATTACTGAACTCGCGCGCTCCTCTCTTTCGCCCTCTCCACCCTTAAAATACTCGAAATTTCGCCTTGTTCACGGTGAAAAATTAAAGTGATTAAAACAATTTTGCAAATACACGTCTTAAGAGGAACTTCGTGTAATAATATGCTAAGCCTTCTGACGGAAAGTACGAAACTTTCGGATTACGGGGGTCCCTTTCTATGCGTTCTTGTTAAAATACGGGTTATCTTACTTGAAATATACCGCGTCTATTTATTTTATATTTCGCTATCGTTTACTTTACCGCGGGTTGAGCCGACGCTTCGATGTATTATTACAACTATTATATGTTCGTGAATTTTCTCAAAAGCTGCATAAGCTTCCTCCCTCTAGCTACGTAACGTCATCAGCCGCGCTATTGCCGCCGGTATAATACGCCGGTTACTTGTGCGGACTTTTAAACGCCGTTCCGACAACTAAAGAGGGGTCCCTTTGTGATTACAGTGGAGAATTTACCGACGGGTTTCCCGATGATCACTCAGGCGCCCACGACGAAGGTGGTCGAAATGGGTCACAACGCGGTCCTCCTTTGCACGGCGGTCGGATCACCGGTACCCATCATCTCTTGGGTGCGAGATATGCTGCCTATCGATACGTCGAATCCACGATACACGGTCATGGATACCGGTAAGTAACGCCGCCTGTCAATCAATACGACGAAGGGGTCGTTCGAAATTCAGCCTCAAGACGCGAGAGAGTACGACGGTTAAGTCACGCTTGATTCGCGAGAAACGAAAAGTAGGTCGATAAGAGCCGGGAAAGGAGCCGAGAGAGAAATGGGCTACGTGAACGATCGAACGATGACAAAAGCTATGAAAGATAGAAAGATTAAGGGTGTTTGGCGGGTACACAGGTAGGTAACAATGGGGCGCCCGACCGGTGGCGCATGTCATATCTCGTTGAGTGCCCGGGTGCGTAAGTCACTGTCAACCCGCGGCGGCGTTGATCGAGTGGTCACGCGATACGCGAACATCCAGCACATCCATCTCGTTTGCCGAGAGCACACCTGGCCCCGTTCGCGAAGCACACTTCGTGCCCGACCATACGCTCGTAAAGTGTGCTCTCGCATCATCGGCCGCGGTCTTCCGACGACGACGAAACTTTCACCATATTCCGCGCGAGTTCGATCGCCGCCATTTCACAGCGATATGATATTCGAGGAATACATAACACCACCGCTTTATTATTTACGCTGCATTTCCGTTGTTTGGAATTGAGGAAGAGCCGACCGCTGTGACTACTGTCGCGTCACTTCGAAGATCCGCGGACGGACGATAATCTGCGATCTCGCCGATGTGACGATGTTAAAGATCTCTTTGTTAAACATAACCGCGCGCGTGCCGACGTACGTCCATTAACGTCCGGATAAGAAATCTAATCCATCCATTTATTGTGTTTATTAATTCAGAAATGGCGCACACACAAAAGTCCCCGATGGAACTCAATTTTTTCATAAATTATGAAAAGTCGGAAACAGTACGATGAATTTTTTTTTTCTGAAAATTGAAAGTATTTATGTTGTACATAGTTTATCGGGCATTAAACTTTCTTTTACAATTAAAGAATGTATTCAAGCCACTTGATTTGAATTTTGTCTTTTCTCTAGCTAAATATACCGCGCACAAAAGATTCGCAAACATTTTTTCATACCTTGACGTGATATCGAAATTTTCTTTCTCAAGATGAAACTTTATGTTTTTAATTTGAACGATAAAATATGTATCTTAATTCTTTTTCACGAGAAAAGACAACTGTTGTGTGCGTTTCATTTACCGAGTCCGGCAATAGACTGCCCGTTAAAGTGAGGAGACCTGATTACCGTCAACTTTCAAGTATGCCTAATCGCGATTAAAAGATCGTTAATAGAGACACGGTATTACATTCTACAAGTCGGTTATCGGAACTCGGTATAAGATCTTACATTCGGTAATATCTTCACTGAACGTTGTGGAAAGTTCGGTAAATCGCGTGACAACATTTCTTTCGTATCATAAGAAAGAAGACTTAATTCGTTAATGTAAACATCCGAAAAAAATGTGTGTTCTGCAATCAATGTCTGAATGCTAATGTGAAATAATACGGACACCTGGAAACGGTGACATAATCTTTTTATTGATATATCAATCGCGATATGTTTTCGGTAATGGGGTCTTTTACCCTACAGTTCTCTTTCGTTCTGCGGTTCGTGACCGACCGCAGATAGATATGACTACTGTCGGTTTTACAACACAGATGTACTACTTTCACGATATCTGTATGTGTACAAGCAATGTGCGCAAAACGCGTAAGACTAATATTGCGCTGTTCCATGGCGATCGAGAAGACTGTAACACTGAGCGTTCGAAAATCCGATTATCATTATTCGTATTTCCGTATTGAAAATTCTCCGCCTCTAAATTATCTCTTTTCCCACACATTTTCCATCCGTGAAAGCATTAAATACACGCGCGCGCGAACGTAATTAAGTAGGGAGAATGTGAAACTATAGAGCGCACGCATTATTGCTAAACGAAAGCTGCGGGGAGAAGACTTGCAAAATGTATTAATAATACTCCCCGAGAGAAAGAGGGAAGAAACCGGTGGTACGATAAAAGAGTGAGAGAGAAGAAAGGAATAATTTTGCGGTACGGCGTTTCGTTAAAGCCCGATGTATCCCGTTATCATTACATTCGCCGCTTAATACGTACGTACGAATATATAACGTTTTTATCGCTACGGCGGTATCATTATCGAGCGGCACGTCACGTAATACCGGCGCGCACTTCCCCCCTATCTTTACGGTGCCCGTTTGCCGCGACGTGAAAAGTGTACATTAGATGCGGCGAAGCCGCCGCTCTGTATATGCAACGCGTGCCTCGCACACTCGCATGCGTGTACACGCGACCGCGTGCGTGTGGCCGCCATGTATTATGGATACTCGCGCATCGGTATGCATCGGGGCCGCGCGAGCGGCCGTGTGTACGTCGCGACCTGGCAATCTTGCTAGAAATTGCCGTAAAGAAACGTGGAGGAAACGAGACGAGCGGAAACCCCATCCGAAGCACGCGTGCTCTTCGCCGCTCGTCAAACCGTCGATTCGAAAACGGATAATCGCGGAATGATCGGGAACTCGAGAATTCGCGAACCCGACCGAACCGCCCGGTTATTTTCCACGATCGATAGCCGCGATAATGAAGTATGCCGGGCGTTTATGTAAATTCGTTCGGCGGTACCGTTACGCCGGCTATTATTATTGTAATTAGATGGGAGGAATAACGGCGTGTATTTTTAGTTGCTCCGCTACCAGCGAAGATTTGCCTATTACCGTCGTACTTGCGATACGAAACCCTCCCGCGCTCTTAATGCGCTAGTTACAGCAGTGATGGTAAATTTACTTTGAATCCCTCCCCTCGAGAGTCATTAACAGTTACAATTACTGTTTGCATCCGCAATGTTACGAATATATTCGAGGAGGAACAAATCATAATTACGCGCGGTGCAGAGTAAATTGGTAAAATTCGTGTATAAAGAACATCGCGGCAATTCGCTCGGTCAGACTACGATACAATAATTCGGCATCCGAAAGCCGCGCGACTTTTTATCGAATGGTGGTGCTATTATGGTCGAGTTAAGTGCAATTTAACGGAGAGGGGTTGATAACCTCTGCCTGGCGTGAGAGCCGAGCCCCGGAGTCACATCAGTCACTCGCTCGCACCCTTAACGTTATTCGCGTGTCTTCGCGACGCCCTTCCTCCGTGTGATAGCGTCCCAGTCGATAGCGCGCGGCGTGCGCACGTCCCATAAAATATACGGCTTAATGTATCGCAAAAAGTACATCAGGAGCCGATGTACTTTCTGCGTATAGCGCGCCAAGTTCCGCGCTAGGGAAATGGATGGACGAGAAATAAGGAGGAAGGAACGGAAAGAAAAGGAGGCGAACCGAGGGTGACGAGAAGGGAGACTGACGCCGTGCGGAACGAGAGTTTTCATAAATTCCATCCCACGCTGACAAGCATTTTTCTCGTAAATCTTACCTGTCTTCGAACTCGTTAAGCGAGAGCTCGCTCGAAAATTGCGCGCGCTCGCCACGCGTCTCGTATCGCGCCCGAAACTGTTAACACATTGCGGGACGCCGCGATAGATTGCCGCGTTCGAGCGTTTTCGACTGATGATGCATTCTTGACAGCGTTTTCCATCGTTCCCGATGTTTTATCTCGAAACAAGCACGGACGCCGCCAAATATCATAGGGCGACGCCAAAAATAACATACTACACGACGAAACGGTCGATGCACTCGATGCATCGTGTTTGCCCGAAATAAAATACAAAACTCCCCGATATACGCAATCCATTTTGAAAGTCTATTTTGTACCCTGAAAAAAGAACATAGGAAGCGCTATTATTATTGAAACAAAATATATTTTGCATCAGGCGCATGTTGTACGGGAAGATTTTGAGCAACACGTTTTCAATGTATTTGCATATTATAAACTTATTATATATTCACGTGAATCTCTTTATCGACAAATTGTTTTCCCAAATGCCATATCGAAATGTCAGAGATTCAATAGCTCCCGCCATCGCGCTTCTTTTCATTCAAAGAGGGGAAGAGGGTTATTCGGAGCGAAACTTTATATTATGCAAAAATATTCCTTACGCGATTATTTTAGTACGATTACTCAAGGTAATTTGATCGATTGACGCAGATCAGTTATTAATCGCTTGGAAATAGCGGTCTCTTCGATCATCACGACAATCAAAGATTTTCCAAATTTATACGGCTTTCACGAACGTATGTCAACATTTCGTTGGCCGCGCTCGTCAATTCCGTGCAGTGATTGCGCAAAGTGGCGAATTCAATCGCTCTGCAAATTTCTGCCGACGAAAGGACGCGCAATCTGACGTGCGCAAAGTGACGGAGAATATAAGAGGGGGGAGGGGGGGGCGATAGACGTTTTTCTCGGGGGGTTCATCCGCTTTCGCAACAGTTAAATATAGAATTATGCGAAAATTGCGCGTGCATACGTATTATTCAAATCTCGCAGATTAAATTTGCCAGGCGCTTCGCTCGCGTTGTCGGCGGGAATTAAGCCAGTGTTAAAATTTTAACTCGCCACGCGCACTCTCTGGCCGAGCCAGCGCGCTCGCTCGGCCACTCGCCCATATATATATATACCATTGTTTGCGTTAATTCACGAGAATAGCTACATCCGCGATGTACATTAACGATATCAAAGCGTCCCAGCTCGTTATAGAATACCACGCTCGTATTTTCGCCGCGCGCGCACGATTAAATTCCGCGGGGTCTTTCGCGCTTCTCGTGTTAACACGTCCACCGTCGACGTAAGAATCGTAAGAACGCGACGATATCTCCTGAAGCACGGAGAGTGCGCGTTAAATTATGCGTAACGATGAACCTCTCTTCTCCGTGTAATAAACGAACCGACGGTGTATCAAGTCCTGTTGGCTTCTCCTCTCACGCGAAAATTGTCTCTCGCGCATCGCTCTTCAAATATATTTCGCGACACTGAGCGAAGACTTCCTCTCTTTTTCCGTTGAGGGGGGGGGGGGGGGTNGGGGGGGTTAAAACCGTGATGAAAATCGATGTCGGTCTATTAGCTTACAGGGGCGCTACGCTACGCGCCAGT